AACCACCTTGTACAGCACAATAAACAGTACCACATGAAAATACTGCTCAATAGCTTTCATTTGAATGGTCTCATCCCATACACTTAAACGACAGAACAACCCTGTACAACATAATAAACTGTACAATAGTGAAGTGCCGCTCAATAGTTTTGTTTGAATGGTCACACACTAGGGTTTCATCCTTAAACTTAAGAACAACCTTTTACAGCACAGTAAACTGTACCACATGAAAATAGTTTTCAATAGTTTTGTTTGAATGGTCACACAGTAACCTGCGAGCAGGCTCACCTTTGAGTCGGTTCACCTTTGAGTCTCACGCGCGAGCGACGAGAAACGAAGCGATCCGGCGGACGCCGCTCGCGCTTATGCTCCTAGGTCACACAGTAGGGATTGATCCACAGACAACAGCACAAGTCAGCACAGCATTAATAGACTGCAATTTAATCGAACCTGTGGTTGAATGGTTTCTTTTTTTCTTACAGATTGGATGACGCGAGGGTTGGTCATACGCGTTCTACAACGGGACAGTCTTTGAAGTAAGTGAAGCACACTGACACGTAAAATGTACACAAAACTTAAATCATATTTCTTCGTTTGAAATGTAGACAGACATCTTATTCAGTGAACACCTTTGGAAATTCTCACTGTGGTGCTGTGTCTATGTTTTATACGGTAATTAGAAAAAAGATCGTAGATGGGCAGATTGAGAGATGAGAAGGTAAAAAATAAAATAAAAAACACTTGAAGGAGCTCAGTCATGGCATTTTGAATTATTTTGGCCGTGTACAAAATTATCTTTAAAGTAGCAGAAACCTGAAAATGCTATGTACTAAGATAGAAAAGCACCAAAGAGGTAATAATAAACGGTAAAGGAACAAGGATGGTCAAGGATGGAGAAGATTAACACGGATTGCAAACGACGAACTTGAAAAATTTAGGCTTCACTTTTCAAGTTGTATAAAGCGTGACGTAGCTCCTTTAGGGAGACGGAAAGGTTGTTGGCAGAGAGGTACTTGTATAACGAGATACTGACAGGAAAGTTTTCTTACATCACTGTTGCAGGCTTGCAAACACGGCTGGCATGCAGTCAGTCATGTCACCGCTAAAGACCTCCAAGGTTTCCACTCTACCACGAAGGACAACAAGGACATCATCGCACATGTTGCGGAGGTAAAGAATTGCAGAACAATGCTCTACTAAAGAAATGAGCCATTTTCATTTGGTGGGGATACAAATGGTTATGTACAGTTTAGTATGCATGGGGTGAGACTTAATTAGCCAGACAGCGTTATATGATTAAGGTTTAATCACCAGTTTCTGGTGACTGCCTTTTACAACTTCAGTCAAAGTTGACAGACAGAAAGACAGACAGACAGACAGACGGACGGACGGACAGACAGACAGGCAAGTAGGCAGATAGATAGACAGACAGACATACAGACATTCAAATACAGGCTTCTTGAGATACTTGACCCAATTAAAACACTCCAAAACAATACAGAGTGCTAAGTTTTCTAAGTGCTAAGAATCAGAGGGTTTACATGTTAGGGTTTACATGTCGTGCAGCTTAACAGTTATACATGTTTTATCTTTCGATGATAATAACATTTTAAAAACTTTTCGTCTTTTGTCCCCAGTCGTATGACGTCATCCCGTGTTAGCAGCAGAGCCCTCAACCTTGCAGCTCTGGCGAAGACATAACTAAGTTATGACTACACAGTAGAATAATGTGTTCCAATACCACTGAAAACCGCTGGTTCGGTAAGTCGTCGGAGTACCGGGCCCGGCTGTTCAAAGCAGGTTGAAACTAGTCCAGGATTAACTTTGAATCCAGTTTTGAAAGTTATTAGCGATCATTTCTTTTAGTTGCTGCCGTCTGAAAATGTTTTAACCTTTGCACAGAGGCAACCTGTAACTTGAAGTTTAGTAGGAAAAAACCTTTAGTTGATGAATTTTTATCCTGAACTAGCGTCAACCTGCTTTCCAGCAGCCGAGCCAGTCTGGCTGTATCCTGCAAAAGTACTATATTTTTGGTTCACCTGTTATAGACGAAAAATATAGTTTCTTTTTGCGGGTTACTCTGACTGAGTCTAGCAAGTGTGAAAGCTTTAGCGCAATGTTGGGCGTAAAGATTAGTCTTAAAGACATGGAAACACTAGTTGGTCAGCGAAGACTGCAGATAGCATGGAATATAGTATGGTTAGTGTAGGGCTCGATAAAAGGCTGAAAAGTGGTCTGGCAATTTTACGATTGGATGTGTTTGTTGCTTATTCGTAAAGTTCATTGTAGTATTTGTATGACGGAGCTGTGCCACGTTTCAAAAGAAGCCAGTTTTAGTGATGTACAAAATTATCTTGTACATGTGCAGCAAAAATCGTGGTTTGCGAGGTTTAAAGATTAATGAAGGATTTTGAAAGGTTTTGGACGCACGGAGAAGATTCAAAGATGTATTCAAAGTACACGATTAATGTGTATGTTACTATGAATCTTCATGGAGGTTTTTTGAATGCTAAAGTGGCGCTTTGTACAGTGTACAATCTCCTAATTCACAGATTCTATTTTATCATAATAGTACGTTGATAGTAAGTTATTGTTTTTATGAGAAGTCAAATGATCAGCAAAATTTGCTCAAAAAGCAATTATCTTATCAACTTTCGGCAAGATCGAAAGGTTATAACTTTATTGAACAAATGGTACTATGTCCATACATGTATAAAATAAGTGTGATTCCTCCAATACGTATTTGTTATGGTGAATGTGGCCGTATGTGGTCTGGGTACCATACACGCGTCCGCCGTATCAGGTTAAATAGTTACTGGGGAGTGTAAGAAAACCACGACGCCAGCGGCAAGGGAACGTCGCTAAACAGAAGGCTTAATGCTCAAGTAGAACAATGGCTGTGCACTGCGTTATAATTCTTGGTACATTTCTCTGCCGTCCTCTACAAAACAACAACGTGAAATGACCACATTCTGCGTTGTTTGGAGAACGTGAACGACGAGAACTAACCTTTTAAGTTTCTATTTCAAATTTATCGCTGTGTTCCAGATTCAGTTTCGTGATAGTTTTGACAGTGATAAAAACAAACAAAAATGACTTAAGATTATCGCGGGATTCCTAGAAAAAATATAAATTCACTTTAAAGTTTTTAATTGAGGATTGCCGTCTTGGTACTTAAACTCCCTAGTAGCATGACCCGCTGGGACAATTACATCTCTTTTCCTCAATGTGGCTCCTAGTTAGTTAGAATGTAGTTTTGGGGCTGTTTGTTTGTTTGTTGCGTAGAATTTCGGTAGCAGTCGTAACTTTAAACTGTCAGAAAACTAGGGTGTCGAAGAAACAGTGTGGTTCTTCAATGAAAATAAAATAAATTTCTGCGGTATATCTTAGCAGTAGTCAAAGGAACTCGAATTTAACGTGTACCAACGTATACTCACCAACAAACTAAGTGAACTAGAAGCCATATTGATAGAAAGAGATTAAATTAATCTTAATCAATTCTTAAGCAAACAATGATTTGCGATGATATATAACTTTAAAAGCGTGATATATGCCCCTTATTCATGTACAATTCCGTCTAGTGACAGTTTT